CTCTCTCTCTCTCTCTCTCTCTCTATATATATATATATATATATATATATATATGAAGAAAAAAACAATTAAGAAAAAAGTCGACCAAACAAAAAAATTTAAAATTTAAAAACTAAATCGTTATTTTTTAATTTTTCGTAAAGTTTAAAGAATATATATATAGTATCATCTTATTTTTATTGTTTAAATTTAATTATTTATTTCTTATTAAAATTCACATAAAAATAATTTTTTGATTTAATTTTATTTGTTAATAATTTTATTTTTTTAATATATAAATTTTGAAATGAAAATTTAGAACGTCGGTGTTTTATTTTTTAAATATATCATTATAATTTATACAATATTTTTTTTTACTTTTTAAATGAAATGTTTTTTGTTGATTATTTTTATTATTTCAAATTTACTACTTTGATTTGTTATTTTTTTTTTAATTCTCATCCATTTAATTTTAAATTACATTCAAAGTTTAAAATAGTTTTTCACCTTCGATTTCATATATTTTTATACATTCACACTATAAAATAAACTATCAAACTAAAATAATTTTTCTAAATGATTTTATATATTTTATTCTACCCGCAGCGTAGCGCGGGCAAAAAACCTAGTTAATACTAAGTCAAAAGTGAAGGGTGCTTTTTTTTTTTTCATATTCCCAAAGTCCATACATTTATTTATGCTATTTGGTAAGAAAATGAAGTTAAAAACGAATTTAATGTCTTAAAATTATATGTTGAAGGTTTGAAGAATGAAACCTATAATTGAGAAGGCTAATTAACGAAGGCATGAATTGAAACTAACATTGAAAATGGCATAATATGAATACTAAGACAAAGTGAAGGGTGCATTTTTTTCTTCTACAATGGAACGATTGCATGCAACAAAAAATTCGAAAAAAGCTCGTGGCTGCTGCATCCTGCAAATGCTGAAAGTTGTTGTAGTTGTTTATATATATATATATATATATATATATATATAATAATGAATAATGATGTTATGTAACGATAATTTCATTAATCATAATTGTAATATAAAATGAAAATAAAGTACTCATAACATCGAATAACAATTATAAAGTATATTAAAATCCTTATATTACGATGATTACGTTACTTTTATAATTATTCTAGTAGCTTTGATCCCTCTAGAATAATAATAGGAATTCCAAACTTATTCTCAAAAAAAGAGTCAGGAGTGTGGATCTTGGTGTCTCCACATGTTTTGGATCCACAACTTTCTCAAGTATATCAATAATAATTAAGTAATTAATTCAAAATTGAGTGAGAATTCTGATTGCTAAGCAGATGTGTCTTTAGCTAAACTATTATGTTTAAATTTAGATTTGATTATGAAAAGTATGATTTTCATGAATTCTCGATCCCAACATCAAACATAATTGTTTGACTAAACTACAAATTAATTTAATTTTGACACAAATTTATTCGAATTATCTAAAAAAGTAGGAAAAAAGAAATTATTTAGTACATTGGATACTATATTTTGTCTTCGTATAAAAATATGAGATTCAACAATTATATTTGTGATGAATCTTATATTTTATAAGGGAACGGAGTGTATTAAAGGATCATCTCACCTAAAAACTTAAGTTGATAGGTGATGCCCTAGAATATAAAAGCCTAATATTTGAGACATGAAACTTGCACGAGTCTACATTGCCTTTTGCTTAATACTTGAGAAATTGAGGATGATGAGACTTGAACTCGGGACCTCAAAGTCAATCAAGTTCGATACCATATTAAAGAACCATCTCATTTAAAAACTTAAATTAATAAAAAATATCTTAAAATATAATTTATATTAGTTTCTATCAAAGTAATAAGTTTAACATATATATATATATATATATATATATATATATTTTTGGCGGAAAAAAGCAGGGAGAAAGGAAGTGGTCAAGGATTCATTGAATTTAAAGCAAAATATTGCCATGATTCGTTGTATATAATGACCATTTATGGAAGCATGCGTTGCATTAAAAATGGCCTTATCCATTTGCCTTAATCTTGGCACAAAGTCAGAAACAAAGAAATGCGCTTACAATTTTTGACTTCAGAGCCTAGAATTAATGATTACTCAGTTCTCAAGTTGAGCTAAAATATTTCACTGAAATTCTACCCAAAAACAATCAATGGGTTTATGTGATTTTTCCTAAGAAGATAACATGAAATATTACATGACCTATTCGTCACAATTTTATAGCATATTATATACATATATATAATAAAACGTAAATTAGGATAAGCTTATATATATATACACATCAACGCTTATCCTAATTTTGTTTTATTTTAGATAGCACTAATCTGTTACCCACGTTACGCTGCGAGTCTTATAAAACAAAATTATTTTAAAAGTTTTTAATTATAAATTTTATTCAATTAATTTTTTATAATTGTTTTTTAAAAAAAACCACAAATCATTCTTCTTTATAAATTGATTATAACTAAAATATTAATTGAGAATTAAAAATATTTTAAAAATATATATTTTACAATATTGTATAACAAAAAATAAAATTATAATTAATGAATAGACTTTTATAAAACTAATAAATGAAAAAAAATTCTTATTTAATGCTTATGAGAAGATTAATTTTTGAAATTATCAGCAATGCTGCATATAGATAGAACAAAATCATTTCAAAATTTTATAATTTCTTATTTAATTATTACTTTTTTTCGTGTTTTTCATGAAATTTATGCTTAAAAAAAATTTATTCTTCTTTATTTAGGGATTCTTAAATAAAAACTTATAATAATTTAAACCTAAAATATTAATTAAGAATTCAAAAACAAATACTTTAAAAATATATATTTTTATAAGAATATATCAAAAATAAAAATAAAGCTACAATTAATGTTTAGACTTGGATAAAAATTAACTAATGAAAAAATAAAATTTTATTTTTATTTAATGTTATGAGAAGATTATTTTTTAAAAAAGTATATGCATTTGATATGTATATATTTATTTATAAAATAATCAATAAAATTAGCATAAAAACAGTATTTGAATAATTGATTGGTTCTCTTAAAAACTTATTTTCATTATTTTATTTCAAATAAATTGGTTCTATAATGTTAAAAAAAAAATCATAGTAAATAATTTGTATTATGTTAAAAGATGTATAGTTAATTTTTAATGAAAACAATGATTCAATAATTTAAAAAAAAAACATCTTGACCATACTTAATGAATTGAAAAAAACTATTTGAAATACTCTTTTAACCTTTTAGAATTATATATATATATCTTACTTTTATTATTTAAATTTCATTATTTGAATTTATCATTTTTTATGAAATTTCTCATCCAATTAATATTTTTAGACATAATTTTATTTACTAATAAATATAATTTATTTTACTTTATGTTTGAATTTTAGAATAAAATCTTAAAACATGATTGTTTTTTTCTTTTTTCAAAAATAAATTGGTATAATATATATCATGAATTCTTAGAATTTTTAAATAATAGTTGCATATATATATACTCGTTGTGTGAAAAAATAAAAATAAAAGCTAAAGATTAAAAAACAATGTTAGAACATGAGGGAGAAAATAGAAAAAATTGTTAAATTTGCATATTAATACCCAAAAATACATAAATAAAAAAAAAACCACACACAAGAATTACTTAAATTGCCATGAAGTGAATAGTAATTTTATTTATATAAGCGACAAGTGAATATGAATTTTAAGCATATGAACGAGTTTGGATTTCTAGCGCTATATTACGGATCGAACAAAACATATTTATTTTAGTTTGATGATATATATTATGTTACTTATTAACTAAAATATATTAAATTAAATATAAAAGATAAAATTTCATCTAATTTTATAATTTTTAATCAAAATTTGTATCTATACATTGTTTTATGTTTTGATTAAATTTTGAAGTTAAAAAAATATAATTTATTCTTTCTTATGCATTTATTCCTAAATAAAAACCCATAATAAACAAATTTTAATATAATTTTTTAAAAAAGTTCTTAATATTTTTTTTATAATATTGCATCAAAGAAATAAAGTAACAATTAATATAAAAACTTGTTCAAAAATTAACATATAAAGCTTTTTTATCGATGAGAAGATTGCTTTTTTAAATATGTACATTTGATTTATATACATTATTTACAAAATAATGAATAATATTAGTATACAAAATTATATTTGAATTATTAAGTGGTTATTCTAAAATATTTTTTCAATTATTTTATTTGAAAAAATAATTTTAAAATATAAAAAAATAATAGCAAATAGTTGGTGTTGTGTGTTTAGATGTATAATTGATTGCTAATAAAATCAATTACTCTAATATTATTATTTTCTATACATCATGACCACACTCAATGGATGAGAATGTATAATATAAATAGAAAAATATTTTAAAAAATTAAATTATAAAATAATATTGAAGTTAATAGCGTGGAATAAAAACTATAAAATTGATTTTGATAAAATTTGATTATATAAAGAATAAGAAAATAAAATACATATATTCTATTTTTAAAATTTGATTATATAAGAACCAAGCAAATAAAAACTGATATAAAAAAATTATTTGAATCCATACATAGAGAAAATAAATCATATTTATTAATAAATAAAATTATATAAAAAATAAGAATAAAAATTAACTTCATGAGAATTTTTTCTAATAAATCGAAAATATTAATTTTAAAAAAATAAAAATAATATATATTTATTCTAAAATATAAAAGCATATAGTATTTATTATATAATCTTTAGTTTATGTGGAAAAAAGTAACATTTGTTTTTAAAAAAATTTTAACACCCAATTAAATAAAAAAAACATAAATTGATGTAAAAAGGCAAAGGAAAAAAAACCAAAAAAAGAAAAAAGAAAAGGTATATAATGCATGAGCTACGGATTACTGTTTGGGAAAAGAACCAATAAGATGGGATTTTTGGGTGATGGATGTCTGTTTGGGTTGAGGGTTTGACAATTGGCGAATGAATGGTGGCAAGGTTGAGATGAAGGTGTTTGTTGTGGTTGGCAAGTTCAATGGTGGCATGTGATGAAGTTTTGGGTAAAGCTGAGATGTGGTGGTGATGGGGATGCTTTTTTTTTCTTTTTTTTGCAAAGGCTAGATAATAGCGAGGCTGTAATGATGGTTGCTCCAATTGGCAAGAAGAGAGAAAGGGGACAACAAGTGGGCTACTATGGGCTTTGGTTTGTGCCGAGAATGTGCAGTGTGTCAATGAAGGTTTATGGGTGTGACTAATGTTAGAAGTGGGTGATAGAATTGGAGATCGGGCTATGGTGAGGAGCTGTAGCATTAATACGTGTCTGGTTGAGGATTTTTTTATGGATTTTAACAGTGTTTATGGGAGTGGGGAAGAAGATAGCAACAAGGAGGGAATTGATGGTAGTGGATGGTGATGAAGGCAAGGTGATGACAGGTTGTGGGTTGTGATAGTATGCATGATGTTTTTTTTTTTTTTTAATTGGGTTTGAAAGGGGATGAATGACATTTAGTTCACTAGTTGGGTAGTTAATTTTTCAAATAGGCTACATGGAATCTTAAGTGAAAACTTTAGCTATGTTGTCATCCTCCCTTATACGCCTTGTCAATTTGAAATGAAATTTAAGTTGAAAATATTCTCATATGCTAATATGATTACTAGAAGGTTAGTTCATGACCTTTCCATCCAAAACTGAAAAAACATGCTAATATGATTAAAAGTATAAATTTCATAATTTTTTGATACATTAAGCTTAAATATTATACATAATTTAGTATCAATTAAGATAATTATTGAATACTTTCAACTCCATTTTCGTACCAAACCACACAAAAAAATTTAAATATTTGCTTGGTAAGTGGATAATTCATAGAGGTAATTTTCAACTCCAACTAATTTTATTTTTTAGTTAATCCTTGAAATTAATTACTATTATTAATTCTATATGTAATTCAAAAGAGTTATATTAAATTGAGCTTGAATTACTGTAGCTAACTCTTGTATTATTCTTGGACTTCATTATTTTCAAGCTAATTTCATCAAAAAAAAATTTATTTCATATTAAATTTTGTTATTTGTTTCTATAAAAAAATGTTATCAATATTTTAATTTTCAAATATATTTTTTTCAATATAAATATTGAATATTATAAATGATTTATTATTAATTAATATTGTGATTACTTGTATTAGGCCTACACAATTCTCATGATCTTCAAGTCAATTACTTACATATTTGTTTTATTTTCCCAACATAATAGGTACTAAAAAATGCCATACGTCGGGAAAGAAGGAGTAGAACAACAACTATCTTCAAGTTGAGACATTGGATGAAAATTTTGCATTTCATTGGATGGTAGTACACGTAAGTTACAATACATATATTGTAGAAAAGGTAGTTAAAGAATGAATCATTAAGGAGCATATAGCTCATACAAAATAAAATATTATTGGTTGCTTAAGTGTTCCTAATGATGTTATAAGAGATATGATGAAAGTATTAAATGACCACAAAGCCACAAAAAAAAAAAAAAAGATAAAGTTGTAAGGACAATTTAGTTTGAGGATAAAATTATGGATTCTCTTGTTCAAGAATAAAAATGTGCCAATGATAATGTTGGCGAGGACCTCATGGTTATATTAGGCAAGAGAGTATAATGTAACATGGGAGGGATACTTATAAAGCAAGTAGATGAACTTCATATAAAAGAATTGTGGTCCGGTTTTGAAAGCGGACAACACTAGCAAGCTTTTATCATGCATTGTTCACAAAGTTTGCATGAAAGACTAGTTCAAGAAGACAAGTATAGTGTTGTTCCACTAATTCCACCTCAAATAACACCAAGAGAACAATTAAAAAAGTTGCAAAAAGATGAATTGGTTTTGACTGTAGAAGAAAAAAGAAAAAATTCAATAGGTTTTTGGTTATGCAAAATTGGGAAAGCATCATTAAAAAGAGTAGCTGGATGTTGTTTTGTCATGAGAGAATCCTATTTAATGTTGTAGAATCTCTTTGGTTTTTCAATAATGGTTAAGACTATTGCTAAAGTTGGTTTTAGAATTCCACCTCCTAGTGTTTATAATATTTCAAAAGTGTATTTGAAAGAAAAGATGACAAACATGAAAAAATACATCAAATATTACGAATTATTTGGGATGAAAGATGTGTCATCATCATGTGTGATGGATGGTTTAGACCAACTAAAATATATATCATCATTTTTTTACTTTATTGAAATCATAACACGTGTTTATCAAATTAGTTGATGCATCAAATGTGCTTTCAAAAGATGTTAAATATTATCTCGGGCTAATAAAAAAAATGATGGATGAAGTTGGTGAACATAAAGTGGTCTAGATAGTGATCGATAATGAGGTTGGTATGAAAGCTACGGGAAAAAGGATGATGCAAATTTATCCTCACTTATCTATTCTACTCATTGTTTGGATCTAAAGTTGGAAAATATTAGAAAGAAATCTAAGATAAAGAATTGCTTAAGAAGGCCGGAAATACTATCCACATTATTTACAACTATAATTAGATAATTAATTATATAATGTACTAATAAGTGTCGTTCATTTTGTTCTAGCATTAATTGTGTTTGGTACCAATTTTGTTGCAATGAAAGCGTTGTGAAGTTTAAGAATACACTAAGAGACATATGGAAGTTGGAAGCTTGAAAAATTCAATATATAAAAGGATGATGGATCAATTTGTTATTGATGTTTGCATATTAGTGTTACAAGAAGATCCACAAATAATAAGATTTTAGAAAAAAAAAATGAGCAAAGTGATAACCATCGATAAACCAATTGTTAAAGTTTTGAAATTTGTGGATGGCAATAATAAGTAGACTATACGGTTTATCTATAAAGCATCATGAAGAACAATGATAAAAGTTTAAGCAAATTGTTGATATTTAAAAACATGGTACAATATAATTAATAAAAGATAAGAATTTCAATTATATGCAAACTAACAAGAAGTGAGTAAGTATACAAATTTGAATGAAATAGTTAAAATAATCTAAAGATATCTTTAATTATTATTCATACTTAAATAAGATTTATAAATAATGTTATTTACTCTTTTTGTTTTTGTAGGTTATTTTTTGAATCCACAATATCATTATGCACCCCAAGAAATCTAATTTATCAAGATGAAAAAATCATACAAGATGTCGAAATGAGATTATAAGATTAGAATTTGATATTAAAAAGCAAATCAAAGTCATGAATGAAGTATGTTAAACATTCTTGTGATAACATAAGTGGCTAAAACATATAATATCATATGGAATATATTAATGTATATAATATTATAAAATATTTATTAACAATAATTCTTTTCAAATTTAAATATGCAGTTGGAATTGTATAGTTTGAAAAGACAAACATTTAGCTTAACCATTGTTTAGAAGGTTGCATATTCAACAAATCCAAGTACTTAGTTACTTTATAAAAGTTCGTATTACAAATATTATTGGTGTTATTTATTTACTCTTTTTTACTTGTGTAAATTTATTTTTTCCAATGTAGTTGAGTGATAGAACAATTATAAAAATGATGCTCCAACTCTTAAAAAGCTTACAATACGGATATTGAATCAAACAACATCCATTTCTAATTATGCGAGAAATTGGAATACTTTTAATTTAGTGTATACAAATATAAGAAACGAGTTAAAGTATCGAAATTGTATACACTTATTTATCTTCATTATAACATGAAATTGAGCTTAAAAAATAGATTGCGAAAGAATAAAAAAATAAAAAAAGTTTTAACCCACTTAATTTGGATTAGATGTTCTATGAAAGTAATTCATTGTCTATTTAGCTGGAAAAAAAAATTGAACAACCGATCCTTGATAGACAAAATATGGATTGGTTACATGTGCATGATGATGATGGTGATGATGAAGGTAATAATGTCGGGGATGATGGTCAAAATAATCGACACAATAGTAATTGTCATAACCTAAATTATAGATTATATTCATTGTGTACTTTTTTTTATTTTTTTATTTCCTTTATTTATCTATTATCATCATTTGTCATATAGTTTGTTTTATTTTTATCCTTTTTTATTGTTTTTACTTTTATTTTTGCTTTATTTTGTCCTTTATTTAGCTCCATTTTAATTTTAAGATCCTTTTATTTTAGTCATAAACAAAAAAAAATGTATCATAAAGTCCCAAGAGTACAATTGAATGGAAATGGAATGTAATTAGAAATAAATAGGGATATAATTGAAATAATTAAAAGTTTTAGAATTGAAATTGAAGGACACATGGATCCAATAAAAAAGAAAGAAAGAGCCGGGGACCAAAATTGCATGCCTAAATGACTCGATTAGGAGAAATTTGAAATGCACAAGATTAAATTCAAAATGAGGAGCGAACAACAAGACAAAAATTGGCTAAATGACTTGTCGTTCACCGTAACCCAAATCAATTCCTCCCCTAGCTATACTTGTTCATCATCTTCTTCAATGAAGACAAAGCAACACATGATTCTTGGCCGGTACAAACTAGCAATTGTACCAACCAAGAATTGTGCTACACATCTACAACACCATACTAGCACCACATCTGCATGCACACATTCTAATTGTTGTGTTAATTTTTGCTCTATCTATAAAAAAACCAACATCAAGAGCGTGCTCTTTAATTTTAGTGGGGAATGGCTATAATTGATTGGGGGTGATCCTAGGATGGATGCTTCGGATTGATTTTTGCTATAAATAGAGCTACATTATGATGAATTGTAAGGAGATTAGAGGAAAATTTTAGAGGAATTTGATTTTTTGGGTTCCGAGCATTTTCTTTTCTAGGTTTCAATTTTCTAGACTAAAAAGAATTCTAGGTTTTAGAAGGGTTTCCTAGGTTTCATAAAAGTATTTGCTAGGCTTTCAAAGGTCAATTTTTGGGTTTTAAAGAAGGAAGTCTTTGGTGTTTAAAAAATAAGATAACCATCTCACTACCACCCATTCTCTAAACCCAACTTCATCAATCAAGCACATCAATAAATAAAACCACATAAACACTTTTTCTCTTTCACGTTATTTACTTCCAATTCCTTTGGTTTTACAATTGGTTTGTTCAATAACAAATGATGATAATGACTTCATCATTGTCATTATGTAATAAGCATCATCGAACTAACTCCCCCCACTAGCCTAAGCTTGTTAAATGAATGTAAGATGAAGGATGAGAGAGTTCAACATTAGGAAATTAGGTTTTCGTTTGTGTAAAGGGGAAATTTTGATTAGGTATAGGTGCTGTGGTTTAGAATAGAAAGGGAGGAAGAAGGAAAGGGAGAGAAAAAAACCGATACTCGACCCGGGGAAAGAGAAGTGTTTAAGGCTTTAGGCTAGTTGTGTTTATGGTTAGGCCCGAGGTTGGGTTGGCTGGGCTAGG